ATTGACCGACGATGGCAATTAAGACAGAAATAGCCATTCTGGCCTCCCTTCTTGCGCCATTAGCGGTCATTTTCGACCGACTTGAAGGGCTCTAGAATGGGACACAAGGCACAGCCGAACGGAAAAATCCCGTAACCTGATTGGTTAACGTCCTCCCTACACTAACGAATAGTTCTGGCAGCAACTGGCAGGAGAACGGACTCTTGGCTCCATTGTAGACAGACTTCTTAACGCTCAATAATCAAAGAATCTGCGTTTTAGTCCCCAGTTATACTAACATAAGTTCGGATGTGATTGGCTGTTAATGGTTAGTAATCGCTCAGGTCGAAATCGCGTTAACACTGCTTGCGTCCGACTCCCAAGTCAAGAAACATTCGAGTGTCCTTCTGCACAGGTCTATCCAGCGCAGTGTTCCGAATAAAAACCTGCACGAGACAGTACGTTAATTTCTACAGGTTCGTTCTCCTAAACATTAGGGATTGGCTTTTACAGTGAGACGCATCTGATCACCTAGAGGCTGTTGACGAAGAGCTCCAACAACTGCGGAATACACCTCGCGAGAAAGGATACCCAGATAGAATTATCCTCCGAAATATTGGAGAACGCTCCTCAGAGCCCATTGTTGCGACTGCGGAAAAGAAAGAGGTATTCATATGATTGCCCTTTAACAGAAGATGCAGAGAGCGAACTAGTCAGACGAAGCTTAACTGCAGCTATCACTAGGACACTCCTCGCGGCGAATTTACGCGTATGTTTTACAAGCTCTCCCCTCCTACATTTGGAGGTAAAGACAGACTACCTTTGGAGGCCACATCAATGTGCATTTACTCTTTCACTTGCTCCTGTAGAGCGGGATACATCGGCCGTATAACGAGACGCCTGGTAAAGAGGGTGCGTGAACATATGCCCGCCTGGCTAGACAGGGGTGAGACCCGGTCGATTTTGAGTTCTATTTTCGCACATTTAATCGATACGAATCACCGAGTCGATGCCAAGGCAGAATTTCAGATTGCCGTCCGGACACCAACACGCTTCTCTAAAGGCCTATGCCAACGGATGCCAGCAACGACCGAGGCAGTGGCTATACGGCTGGCGAATCCGGTGTTATGCTGTCAGAAAACCCTGACACAAGCGCTCTCTTTGCCGTGGACAACGCCAGGCCCAACTGAAAACGACATGTAGCCTCAACGCCCTAGCTGCAGTGATGGGTACTCCGTGTACTCAATCCAAGAACATCACTCAGAGACTCTCCTACCCTCCTTCCCTAGCTCTGAGTACCAAAACTCGCCGCCCTCTTCATGCGTGCGGCATGGGGAAGATGAGTGTTAATGACATAATAGACCTTGAGACACCTATGAACACTGTCGATCTCGCATACTTACATTCCTTCATGACTACGAATTGCCGAAAACACATGTTTGCCAACTTGACTTTTCAAGTCTTTTGCATTAGTTATGATGGCGATTTCAGTGTCATTTCAATAAAATTTGTGGTCATCTTCGATACCTGCGCAACGAAGAGCAATGTGCTGTCACACACAAACCCTAGGCGTTCGCTTGTATTTCCGACGTACAGACAGAAGCATTCAGCATCTGCGATGCGATAGATGACATTATTTAGCATATAAGAGATCTCTTACTTTGCGTAGTGTTTTTATAATAAGCGGTTCAATTTGGTTGTCAAGACGGCGCCCTTTTGAGTGAGTCACTGCCATTGTGACTGTCTATGGCGTCTTAGACACTCTTTTTACAAAATCGATCAGGTATTACTTTAAACGTAGTAACTAAGGTATGTAAGTCAGCTGTTTCATAAGTTGGTTATTCCTGCCGTCATTACCGAAGTTTCTGAGTGAACGGAAGCCGAACTAAGCTCCTCTAAGAGGTTGGGTATGAGACCCCTCCTTATAAACGATTCTGTTAAAAGTATAATCACACAATCTCTTTATTTTCACGTTCAGAAATGACAGACTATCTCTCATTACCTTTTGTAAACAAATTTCAAACCACTCAGGCTGACTTAGTCATACGAGTTTGCTATACTTTAGGATGACGGGGGTTTTATCAGCTATCCACATGACCTATTAGTACAACAGTTTTGATCAATCCCGGGAGAGGTGAGCTCATGGGGCTTCTATCTACAATCTGCTAGTATTTATTCTTGAACTTTCAGTAGTTTGCAAAGCCTGCTGCGTCGCAAAACTAATAGATTTTTCCTGTACACATAGGGCTACACTGTCATTTATCCAGTCATTTGGAGGTATGGAAAACAATACAACGACGACAGAAGGTACAATACTTTCATCAGCCATTCTCTAAGATCCTGAATCGTTTGAAGGAATTCATGTAGGTTTCTGATATCGAAATAAGGCCCATTAGTTTAAGCGTCCTCACAACCTAGAGGTGGCAATACAACATCGGTGTAGCATCTCCTTTTACACCCTGTGGAGGTCACGCACCTGCGTGATACGGGATCACTAACGGCTATAAAACTTGTAGTCATCAGGTCTTATGAGCTTCAGTCGATCGAGCGCAGTCACCTTTGACTTGATAGCCCATGATTAGTTAGCCAGTTGGCTTCCAGACTCCATATAATGGAGCATTTAGATTACCGGCCCTGTCACTTTTGTTCATAGTTTGGTTTTTACGTGGGTATAGCAAGTCTGCTGCGTTCGGGGTCAAGAGACCGATATTTCTGCTCCCCTTCGACCGGCAAGGTTAGCAGACATCTTTTTTGTGGAAGGTCGGTGCACAACTGCGTTGGGCCACTCACACGCCTTCTGGAAGCTCAGAAGGCAACAAACGGGATTAAAAGACTACGACTTTCGTAGACGTAGCGTTGGTATGAGTGACAATTACTCCCCCATGTAAAAGGCTAATTTCTACAGATGCAAACCGCCTATTAAAACGGTTAACAAATCTGCTACACGTCTTTTTGATGGCAAAGTGAGGAAGTAATTTGGGTTTCTTATGGAGGTCGGCCTTCCTCTTCAATCTCACATTCATAGTGGTGATATTTATTCTAATTTTATCACGCCAATTACTGCATCGATAATGATATCGCAGTCGTAAACAACCCAAATGAGCCTAATCACGCAACCAACCCATCAATTGCTGTCGTCTGCAATGAATATAGGGGATGCTTATTTTAGTGAGAAGGGATCGCATAGCAGTTTCATTCTGTGACTACTGTAACCCCTCTGCGTTCACTAACCCAATCTGATATTGTTCCTTATGGTGACATCGAGAATGAAGAAAAACGTTCACTGAGAGATTGCTTTTCCTTCTTCTCAGCACCCACTAATGTCACGCGTATATTGCGCAACGCATAAACCGTGATACGAACAATCTTTGAGGCGATGAAAATACAGTCACCCACTTTTTTGTAGTGACATTCGTCAAGTTAAATTAAGTGTCGCCGAGTGCTATTAAAATTTTAAGTCAGTTTGTCTGCGATTTTGACACAGAGAAGGAAACGGAAGTTTATTATTTTTCTATTAATGAATTTGCAGATAAAAACGGTATTGCGTGGTCGCATTCAAAAAAGAAAGTCACTGAAGTTCTCAGTAGACTCTGACAGAAATGCAGCTCCAATATACTGTCCTCGTCATTCAGCACTGTTGAAGCAACACTTCGTTATACACGGTTCCTCAGGACTTCGTATGCACATCTCAGGTGCAGGTAGGTCGACTGAAATTTCATACTATTACTAATTCAGTATTCGAGAATTCTTTAAAGATGGTGATTTGATTTACAGCACGTTTGGGTTCCCCACACTACTGTCATAATATGGGATCCCACCTTGGTAAGATCTTGTCAAGCAACTGGATCTAATAATTTAGTGTTGCAGAAAGTTCTTCTCCTCCACCAGACTTCATATTTTTGGTTTTTTGATTAAGATAATCAAGCAACAGAGTCCGTCTAAAGCAGTCGTTTGCAGTCGGCGAATCGAGGTTAGCCATTGAAAAATAATGTACTTAAATACCGAAGCTTTGCTTCCTGATGTACATGGGCCTATTGTTTTTTGTCGTCAGTAAGTTTTGAACTATAGCGAACAATTTTAGGGTGAACTGTATTTTTAAAATGAAATCATTTTGGTAACTGCTGGTTTTTGTCTATTTAGAGCGCGCATACATACTTAATACGCAATTTAGTTGCTGGTGAATTCATGTTTGCGTGAAATATTTCGTTGCTCTATTAGATAGAGGTGGTTATCATTCGATTTCTTTCGTTTTTAAATAATTTAAAATAATCTCTTTGATAATTTCGGGACGCAAACTCATCGCTGCATCTGGGAATTTCACTTCAGAGTATGACTATCTGACGGTGATCATAAAGTACGCCTTTATTTTAGGGTGGCTCAGTTTTGATATGATAACATCCACACTTCTCCCAGAGCAAAACCGGTTTTTTACATTTCAAATGACGATCTGTTTGTATTTGACCACGTAACGACTACAACTTTGCCATCTGGATCTTAAAACAACTACAGTCGGTGACCGACATCATGGAACGTGTCTCCGATTACGAAGGATTACTTCAGTGGCGTAATAATATGGACTTTTGTCACAGCACATTCCTAGGATGCTGACTCTGATATTTATTTTTTTCAGTCCCCAGGTGTATGTATACGTGAAGAATGGTTACGTTGTCCGACCATCCTTCTTCTTGACATATTCAAAAACATGCTTTTTGTACCATTATATAGAAAAATACGTCCTCTTTTAAATTTACGTTCGAATAAAGGATATCTCGGGCTTCTAAAAGTTTTGACTATAAGACGTTTTAAGGCTGTGATGTATTCACTGAGATGGCATTGTTTTGTACATTTGTCAAGGCTGCTTATGAAGCATTCAACATAATTTACGTTCATTGCAAAATTTTACGAATTCGTTTTATATCCCCTTAATGGTATAGAGGTATGTACGGACTGCCCTACATGCAAATTATGCGGCTCCTAGACCGTAAACGCACAAGCAGATGCAACGGCAGACTTGACTCAAGATGATTCGCTTTGAAACAACAATTTCTGATCTTACAAGCCGATGCGTCTCATGCTTACCTGAGAACCTCATTTCGGAAATACTTCACCGAATAAACGCCACCACCAAAGACGCCAGAATGAAGAAACGGGCCGATCTGCAAAAGGAACTACAGTCTCTTTTGTGCACGGCCAGCGAGAACCTAATATCTACGAAGGTTGTTAATCTTTCGAAAAGGGACTTATCTTCTACTGAAATAAGCCTCCTGTCTAAGGGGATCAGATTCAGTCACACCGATGCTGCACCTACGGACTTCCAAGCCGACCTCGAATCCCTCCTTCTCACCTCAGACATCCCTGATGACATGTGTGCGGACATTCGCAGTTGCGCCACTGGTCTCCTTCGGCAAAGGAAACATCATCAAACCCTATCGACGGAAGAGGAAAAGGCGTTACGATCGCTAAAGACAGATGAAAAAATAGTTATTATGGCTGCTGACAAAGGACGAGCCACCGTTATCATGGATAAGGTTGACTACGTCAACAAGGCAAACCAAATCTTCGATGACAGACCCAACGAAAGAGCAAGCCGCGACTATCAAGAAGCAAGTGAATGAGCTTGCCCGATTGAAGCTCATAAGCCCCGATGACAGCAGATCTCTAACCCTCAATGACCCCCGTATCGCACGTGCGTACGGCCTTCCGAAGGTGCACAAGACAGATGCGCCGCTGAGGATCATAGTGCCACTTATTTGATCCCCTACTTACAACCTTGCCAAGTGGTTATACAGACACTTAAAGCACCTCGCAAATGGATCGCAATACAGCATCAAAAATTATCACGCTTTCCTACAAAAGATTCAAGGCCTTGAAGAAAGTCCTAACGGATGCATCCTATCTTTGCCCTGTTTTATTCAATACCGCATCACCTAGCGATTGACAGCGTAGCCCGATGTCTAGAGCAAGGTCTCATTGGCATTCCAACAGAGCATCTTCTAGACATGCTTCAGTTTTGCCTCAAGAATGACTGTCAGTTCGATAGCAAGTACTATCAACAAGTAAAGGGCACCCCAATGGGCTCCCCAATATCGGGGCTGCTTGCAGAACTAGTCTTGCAGCGACTAGAACAGGATGTTGTACAAACCTTCGAACCAAAAATGTGGCTCCGCTACGTGGACGACACATTTGTCATCATAAAGACCAGGGAAGATGAACGATTGCATCAGAGCTTAAATAGCGTCTTCCCAGCTATATAGTTCACCCGCGAAGAAGCAACAGGAGATACCCTCCCGTTCTCAGATGTGAGCATACAAAGACTTAGTTATGGCAAACTAGCGACAAGCGTCCACAGAAAAGACTCTAGTGCCGAAATCATACTTTAATATGGGAGCAATCATTCTGCGGCCCATAAACGAAGCTGTGACCGCACTCTTTTCCATCGGGCCTATCGCATCTGCAACAGTGATGACTCACTTAAGAAAAAATTGTCCTACTTACAGCGGTTATTCCGCCCCAACGGATATCCTGTCAGTTTTGTAAAGAACTGTCTCAGACGCCAGAGACAACTACCAAACCCCCAGTCTCATGAAGATAGAGCGTTGCAGAAATTCTATTCAATGCCGTACATTCAGGGAGTCTCTGAAGCACCCTCCCGGCAACTAAAACGCTTTAGCATCTCCATTGCCCATAAGCCCGCATCTTCCCTACGAGAGACATTATGCCGAGTAAAGGACTCGGTGCCCAAAGAACAACTAACTAACATCATCTACCGCATACCGTGCGCCAACTGCCCTTGTGTTTATATTGGCCATACAGGCCGATATCTTGGACTCGCATTAACGAACACAAGTTAGCCCTCCGCCGACGTGGCCCTCTGTCCCTCGTGTTTGCGCACGCCATTGAGCATGACCAGCGCTTCAATTGGGACGGTAGTGAAGTGATCGCAAAGGCTAACACCAGACAGGCGCGAGAATTCCTCGAAGCTTGACATTCTGGCACGACCAGCGTCAACCGCCACGTCGATCTAAACGCTCACTACGAGGGCTTACGTACACGCTCACTGTCTTGTTCCACACCTTAACATTTGCTAACCCCCACTCGGCCACATAGACGTATGCTGTTTCGCCATCCCGCTCCCCCCTTGCGACACGGTGAACAACAACCGAAACCCCCCATAACACCTCCTACGCCGGCGCATTGCCCCCTGACCTCATCCCGCATCAGTGACCAGCCGCCCGCATTCCCACTCATTCGCAATTCCCCCCCTCGCGTTTTCACCACCTCCAACACTGAGAGCCCTAACGGTTCTTCCTTTCCTCCCCCTGCCCCACGGCCTATCATAACTAGGTGCCCACCCCTCTCACACATCAGCTGTCTGTTTGTCGCTGTCTGTCCGGTCGCGCCAGCCGACCTAGTCTGCCGATTTCACTTTCCCTCTGTTCATTTCGTCTGACGACGGGTCGGTGTCACCGCCTTGAAAATTTACGAGTACAACTCAATTTTCCGAGGAGCCTTCACTTTCTCATTATATCACCTCGGAATCCACTCCACATCAGTTATTCAATAGTAGAATTTGTTTAAGCGTGCTTTCTTTAGGTATAACACTTAAGGAAGACGTGGCTTTCTGCCAAACGAGTATAAGGAATTAAATTTTGTCTAGGTTTTTGCAAAATATATTTGATTTTTTAAGGGCATCAAAAATCATTAGACAAGTTTACGCTACTTAGGTATTCCTTTTACCGAGTACGGTTTTGTAGAAGTGCATTCAAAGTCCGGCGGTGACCGGGTTCAGTTTGACCTTTGGATCCTTTCCCTCTCAAAATATTTTGCAGTTCGTCAATTTACCGTTACATTTATTCTTCATGGTTTTTTAGTCAGCCCCTCACACCAGTCGGCGTTATGTTGCTGGCGATCATTAACGGCAGGTGCTTAATATTAATTTCGCTACTATGTTTCTTATCTACAGCAAATTGCTGCTTTGAGTTTAGCTGTCAACAAGCGCTGTCCCATTGGTTTAGGATAGCTCGGTGGGACCTTATAAATCACAAGAAAAGTTTTTTTGGGATCCACTTGATGCCCGGGATCAACAATATGAAAGAGAATGGCGCTGTTTATCCTATCAGTTCCGTCCTTTCCCAGCCATGCGGACAGGTATTCGTGTATTCTCTAGGATAAGCGCCGACTCGTGCGATCAATATAACCTACTTCGCAGGAGCAAGTGAAGGAACAGATGGGGTGACAACTCATCCTTACTTTCTCCGCGTAAAATGGGGTTATTAGAGAATGCGATTTGAATCCTTGCCAATGCGGCGGGTTTTACCGGTCGTGTGATAAGGATCTTTGCAAAGGAAGTCCTGAATTTTTCTTAGTTCCTTCGCAATGTTATCGGTTAGGCAGATTTTTCTAACTCTTCATGCCAAAGACCGGACTGTATTTCGTTTTTTTGTAGGGGTACGAAACTGGCGAAGTTCATATAGTACGTAGCTAACTCATGAAATGTCAACCGAAATTTCGAAATACGCCTTCGTTTCGAAAAGATTAATTAGGTAGGGTAATAAAATTGGTCCGCCTGCAACATAATTCTATAATATTTTAGTTACCGCAGAATGCCAGCTTTTTAAAGAACTCGCTTTCGGTTGTATACAGAAATTACACTCTGTGAAAAATGAATACTTACATAGCATGAATTTGTCCTACTGCTTTTCGATGCTTCTAAAAGTTCAATTATATTTCATAGAAAACATGCATAAAAATATTAATTCTTTTGCTCATTCGGTAGAAAATTGCATCTTCCAATTTTATACTTGAAGGGGGGACATAAAAAAAATTTAAAAAGTTTCCTTTTGTGAAATTTATAAGTAGCATGAAATTACCGTGCATAAATCTTCATGTCTTTGCATTTACGAATGTGGCTTGTAAAGTTAACATATGAAACTTTTTTATTTAACTATGTCCCTCCTTCGAGTATAAAATTGGAAGACGTAATTTTCTACCTAATGAGCAAAAGAATTGATATTTTTATGCATGTTTTCTATGAAATATAATTTGACTTTTTGAAGCATCGAAAAGCAGTAAGAAAAAATTCATGCTACGTAAGTAGTCTTTTTTCACACAGTGTAATTTTTGCATACAGCCGAAAGCGAGTTCTTTCAAAAGCAGGCATCCTGAGGTAACGGAAATATTATAGAATTATGTTGCAGGCTGACTAGTTTTACAACCCTATCTAATTAATCTTTTCGAAACGAGGGCGCATTTCAGAATTTCGGTTGGCATTTAATGAGTTAGCCCACCTATTGTGTGTTGTCCAGACCAGGTTTTCTTCCCAAAGACGTGTTCTGCGGCACTCCTGTCAGGTCTCCTGCTTAGAAGAACATCTGAGAAAGGGCGCCAGCCTTGCCCAGGCGGTTTCTGTCTAGGCACGGCGTCCCTCTTTAACGTAGACCTGAGACACCAGCAACAACTTATAAAGAACTACTGATATTCAGACCTTTGAGTATTACGCATTTTTCTGGCGGTCTGCTGAAACGTAAGAATGTGCTGGAAGGCCAGCGTGGATAAGCCGGCAGCTCTACTGGCACCTTTGGCGAATAGAGGTACTGTCGACATTATTGAGACCCTCTGCGCCGCTATGCTGCAGGAACAGGGTGCTTACTCTTCTCTGTCTCGTGTTTAGCCTTCATGAATTGACCGCTAACGTGTGGTGTCTATCAGGTCACCCATTTTCTACACAAGTTGTTTGTCGGTTTGGTAAGATCTTACTTCGTAGCCACACCTGTTGGGGATTAGGATTGGGGGGTTGTGGTTAGGGTAAGAGTTTGGGGTTAAGGTTAGGGTTTAGCGTTAAGTCCCATATTACCACCGGTCCTATATGCCACGCGCCTGGGGCTTGTCTCCTGCAGGTGGAACTGCGAAATAAGATCCGATCGCCAGTTTAAGTAAGTCCATGTGTCCTACTTGTCTGATAACTAGTCAACCATACAGTAATACAGTTTGGTTAATATATTATTGTCTGAATATATTGTAGGTGGCATTAAATGTTACTTCTTTCGACCACAAAGGTGAGCTATTCAGCGCGTCCTGCAGTCGACATTTACGTGAGCCTTAGCCCAGACGGCAAACAGGCTAGCTTTGGAAATGGCTTTTGACGTCTCTGTTTTTGGTTAGGTTATAGCCCGTTGGCGGTGTTATAAAACCCCGAAATGCTCGACGTACTGGATTATATCCGATAGGAATGAAGAAAGAACAGCATAAATCAAATGAATGTGAGTAGTGATGTTCGCCCTACTTTACGCAAGTATACACTGTGCAAATAAAGGTTACTTTAATATTTACAGTAGTATCATCACAATACTAAATTGTTAAAGTGAGATATCAAGACATCTGCGGTCGGGTGGCATTGTGATACGCTCTGCTTCCTTTTGAAAGTTTCCACGGAACCAGACAGAACTATGTCATCATGCAAGGCATTTCAAACTTCCACCACTCTCTTAGGGGGAAAAATCTGCGTGTGTCTCCCATGGCACCAGTCACACGTCGTTTGAGTGGATGATCTCTCAGGTTATTCGTAGTCGTCAAGTCGAAAAAGCCTCCAAGTAAAAGACACCAGCCCTGACCATGT